CTTTCCCTGGGAGTCTCTCATGGACATGCCCAGCCTCAGACTTCTTGATTTGCACAACAACCAGCTCACCTCGCTGCCCGCGGAAGCCACGGCGTACATCAAGAACCTCACCTACCTGGACCTGTCCAGCAACAGTTTGCTGACGCTGCCGATCGAGGTGCTGACCAACTGGCTGGCTGCGAAGCCCGTGCAGGGCCCCGAGAGCTCCAAGATGATTCTTGGTAAGAAGGGAGACACGGGCGTCTCCGGGAGGTTTATGAGCTGGATTACCATGGTGGAAGAGCCCATTTAAAAACCATAATAATTTTTTTTGGGAGTTGTAGGATCTCATTCACTACCATTAAAAGATATAAATAAATAAATAAATAAATAAATAAATAAATAAATAAATAAATAAATAAATAAATAAATAAATAAATAAAAAGTTAGTAGTGTATTTTGCTCCCTTCATTATATTGACTGTGCGTAATGGAGAGTTGCTCTTTGATGGCGGCTGAAAAAACAAAATATTTTTAAATGAAACATAATCTCAACCCTGACCTTGATTTATTTTTAAAATATCCTGCTTAATTCTGAATAATCTCTCTCTGTATTTTATTTTTTATTTTATTTTTTTGTAAAATGTGCTGCTTCAAGACTGCAGTAACACTTAAATGCACCTACCTAAAAAAAAGATTAGACTTTTACCTTAGCGGGTGCAAACCTTGTACAGGCAAGTAAGACATTTTTAAGAATCATTCATCTGTTTTAACATCTTTTGTGGCACCATCAGCTTGCTTACTAAATGAAAAGGTGAAAATACTTCTTCAAATACATAATCGCTGATGATCTGTACTGAGAGTTTAACCTTAAAACTCAAATATATACAGACAGTAATATAAATTATAGAACAACATGTTAATACACATTACTGTTTAAATAGCTTACACACCATCATCATCATCATCATCATCATCATCATCATCATCATCATCATCATCATCATCATCATCATCTATGCTGTCATTATTGCCATAATCATAACTATGTAGTTTCTGAATTAAATGTAAATCCTCTTACAGGATTATCATCATAGCATCACAATCAGCCATCTGCAGGCTGCTCTTTCACTTTGCACACAGCTGCACTTTTCTGTCTCCTCCTCAAGTTTTGCTTGTTTCTCTTCACACACAGGTCTCCATGACAACCCCTGGGTGTGCGATTGCCGACTCTATGACCTGGTCCAGTTCCAGAAGTCCCCCACGCTTTCCGTGGCGTTTATTGACACGAGACTCCGTTGTTCGGCACCAGAGAGCTTCTCAGGGGTCTTGTTCAGCGATGCGGAGCTGCGTCAATGTCAGCTCCCACGCATCCACACAGCAGTGGCACGAGTCCGGAGTGCGGTTGGGAACAATGTTCTCCTTCGCTGTGGGACCATTGGAGTACCGGTGCCAGACCTGACATGGCGCAGAGCTGATGGACAAATGCTTAATGGCACAGGTTAGCTGGCCTTTATTCTTATCAGTGGCATTTCTGGCATAAACAATGTCGAGCTCTTCCTTTTCACCATAACAACAGATCCTATGAGTTACAAATACTGTAAAGACTTTACAAATCCCCAATTAATCTACAGTACTTTGTACATGGGTTGGACATTTACTGTATCACAATAGTTGCAATGAATCTCATAATCTCCTTTCATGAATCTCAATAACCTGGTCCAAGTTTGATCAAGGTATTTCAGATTTTTAGATACAATATAAATAGCCCTTTTAATTTCTAATTTCAAACTTGATGTCAAATACCGTTGTGCACGGTGGAGTGCTAAAAAGGCTTATTTAAAGTACTGGAGGAAGGAATCTTAAAGACATTCAAGACTCATGGCTGCTATGGATTCTGACATGTTACTTTATCTTACATGTTCTTATAGTGTTTACACTGTAGACAAACAAAGCTTTCCCATTCTCTACCAGATGGGAATGAAAAATAAAATCAATAGAAAACCATTCAGAAGTAAAACCAATAAACAGTTTCTGATTTGGATCTGATAGATACCTTTATTTTATTTTGCATTTGGTTTATGCTGCTCAGCAAAAGGTATTGCTGAGCAGGCAACCATGTGAGTCATATCAGCTACCGCCACAGGGTCTCTGTGCATAGTACATGCGTTAGGAGGATTTTTATACTCTGTGGTCTTGTTGTTAATTAAACAGAGAGCTACTACTAGATCCAGTTGGACTGTAAGTCTGATTGACAGCTCCAGTCTTTACAGGCAGTTACACAACATAGACGGCAATTGATGAATGAATATTGTGTAATCAGCTGCCTGGCATGGTTTTCTTTTTATTAGCAGAGATCTTCTCTCAGACTCAGGTTCCTGTTAGATTTTTGTCATCCTAAAATGTTGTTTTGCTTTCATAATTGCATAATAAAGTATATCCATATCTCTCTTCTACCACAGTACAACAAGAAACATCTAAAGAAGGAATCACCTGGTCCATCCTCAGCGTCCCAGCTGTGTCCTACCGCGATTCAGGGAAATTCATCTGCAAGGCATCAAACTATGCAGGGAATGCAGAGGCTGTCATTTCTCTGGTTGTCTCTAACCCACCAAGACCAGAAGGGAACCAGACAAGCACCGACAAGAAGGTGAAAGTCAAGAAGCCAAACCCAGTGGGTAAAGCAGCCTACCAGGAGAAACTGGTGGCCAGATACGTAGTTCCAACTTCCACCTCATCAGCTTTTGCTGCTATGGATTCTGACATGTTACCTGCTGACTCCGAACAGGTCAGCTACACCCTAACTGATGGAGCCGCCCAGGATCCCTCCACTTCCCCCAACTCAGACGCACTACTGGATCTGGAGAAGACAAATCTCAGCAACCTGGCGGCGAACACTTCATCCCTACAGCAGGACCCAGACAGGGTGGTCCGCTCTGTGAAGGTGGTGGGTGACACAGACAATACAATATCTCTCAACTGGAGAGCACCTAAAGCAAAGAACACGACTGCCTTCAGTGTGCTGTATGCTGTGTTTGGGGAGCGGGACATGAGAAAGATCAACGTTGGAGCGGGACAAACCCGTGTAACTATAGACGGGTTGGTGCCCAGGACCAAATACATTGCCTGTGTATGCGTGAAGGGGCTGATTCCCAAGAAAGAACAGTGTGTGATATTTTCCACTGATGAAGCAGCGAGTGCCACTGGCACTCAGAAGCTGATCAATGTGATTGTGATCACCGTGGCCTGTATCATTGCAGTCCCCCTCACTGTCATTGTGTGCTGTGGGGCGCTGAAGAGGCGCATTAAAAAGTACTGGGGAAAGAAATCCAAAGACATTCAAGACTCATATGTGACTTTTGAAACACTGTCCCCTGGCACAAAGGCCAAAGGGCTTGAGGGTGAGTACTTAAACAGACTGAATCAAGAGGAGTCCAACCGATTGCTGTCAGCCCGCTCCAGCCTGGACTCCGAGTCAACAGCAAAGATTGAGGGACAACCTAACGAGTACTTCTGCTGACGTCATGCTCCAGCTCTGGCTCCTGCTCCACGCCATCTTCCGCGCAGTCACCCACATCTGCATAGCAATCCGAAGCCCAATGCCCATCTGCACCATTCTTATCATCGCCCACACTCTCACCCTCATCCATATCCTCAGCACAATCCCTACTCTCACCCCACACAACATCCTGACGTCAGTCCTCCTCCCACACGCTCCCATACACCCACACCATGGGATTCCCCTCCACCGGTTCCTCCTCGCTGGATACTGCCACCGACTCCACCGCCACAGAGACCCAACTTCTATCAAAGGACTTTTGCACGTTGCACAATAATGGAAATCTCAGTTTAAAAACAAAATTGGATCGTTCTGGGAAAGACTGTCCATCTTGCAGATGCTCTGCTCTGCATGCAAACATCCACTACTGGCATCACAAAGTCTGTAAGAAAAAAAAGCAACATTTGAAGCTACTTGCACGACCCAGCGAAAAAAACCTTCTTAATCTAACCTAATTTAAAGGGAACACATTGTATATAACATATGTATGTGTTTGATTTGTAAATACCGACTGAGCCATGTACACTTACATATACAGTTAATTCTGTGCCTCTGTATATATCTGTCATTAGTTCAGAAAAGATATACACATAGGCATGGGTCAACACTGGTGAGTGGAGGGCAGCTGGAGCTGGAGAGAAGTACAGAAAGGACTGAACTATGACACACTGTAAATAAGATGGAAATGAAAAGTTAAATCAGTTTTATTCCCCAGCAATGAGAAATGTAAGAAAATCTATGTATCCATTCAAGGCTAGCTAGAGGCATCATTACCCTCATTTAATGTAGATCTCTTCATTCCCATCATGCCACACATTTAAAGATGATTAAATAAACTTTTATATATCTTTACCTGATATTGTGTGTTCATACTAGTGAGTTACTTAACCTCAACACAACCATTATATGATTCTTTTAAAATCATATTTCAGCTCAGCATATTTTTATTCTGTCTTGTCTCTTCTCATTGCTCAAAATGTACCAACTCTTGAGCCTCAGGGTTCCTTCCAGAGATGATCTGAATTAATTCTTCCATCTAATCTGATGAAGACAAGCATAGCCAGATCATGCTGCTACCACTTTTCACTGAAAAGATTTATTTCTTTTGGTCATAATCCACATCCCATGATGGTACATGAGGTTGTTGTTATTGTTTTTATAATGTAGTCCTACTTTAAACTTCACCAAATGTTATCCCTGGCCTTTTTATTGTATTTCTTGATCTTCATGTTGGTGTTTTATTCACAAAGCTTCTTAACCTTCTAAACCTCTGAGGCCTTTACAGAACAGGTGAAATTATACAAAAATTTAATTTGACATTATTTGGTGAAAGCTATTGGCAGTTGGTTGCATAAAATTTTATTTAGGGGAATCAGAGAAAAAGTGGCAGAAACAGAAAATAATGCCTCATTTTTTGGGATTTTATTAATAAAAATGTCTGAAAGTCACCTTCCCTCCATAAAATAAGATAACAACCAATATTTCCCAATATTTTAATGTGACAAAATGTGGGAAAGTTCCAATGTAGCAAATTTCTATATAATCCCTTGCAGTTGTACTTTCCCTGACCTACAAGACAGGTATGCTAAGCTGATGCCAAAGCTGATACCCAAGAATTAGAACTTCCTTCTTCCTAAACATGTCAGGGATTAAGTTTAATAGGCTTCTGTTGTCTGCTGCCATGGGCATCTCTTTACCACGCATACAAACCTCAGACCTGGTCACGGACTATGGACACGATGATTTACCTTCTGGTTGTAATATTAATAAAAGCTGAACCATGTAGAAGTTATGCTCGATGTTTGAGTGGGTGCAGCTGTTTTGATGACCGCCATGGAAGGTAAGACCAGATTTCATTTGCCGACGTCTTGCTATTTTCTGATGCGCTTATCTGTCTCCGTAAGTCGGTCTGGGATTTCTAGACGAGTTTTGCCAAAAAAAAAAAAAAAAAGTAAGAAATGAATAATAATACTCTACTAGAGGTAAACTAGTGACATTCAGTCATTTGTATAAAGGAAAACCAATTTTAGTTGATCAAATACGCTTTTCCACAGGTCACTCATATGTATGGAAGAAAGCGCCTTCGGGGCCATTCCCGACAACCTTCCAGGCGATTTGACCAAAATACGGATAGAAAAATCCCACTTCACTGAAATCCCCAGGGGAGCTTTTTTCAAAACACCCGCGGTGGAAAACCTGTGGCTGAACTTTAACGACATCACAGTGATAAACTCAAAAGGTCTGGAGGGTTTGGGGAACCTAACCGAGCTCCGTCTGCAGGGGAATAAGCTGCGATCAGTACCATGGACAGCGTTCGAGGACACGCCGAACCTCAAGATCCTGGACCTGAAGCACAACCAGCTGGACGTCCTCCCGGAGCACGCCCTCAAGTTTCTGCCAGGGCTCACATATTTAGATTTGTCCTTCAACCAGCTCACGGTCATATCAAAAGAAGTCTTCCAGAACTGGCCTCTTTATCAGAAAATGCAAAATGCAGAGGAGCGGGATGCCGCGGCGTCCAGGACGAACGTTGTCCTGGCGCTGCACGACAACGCCTGGCTTTGCGACTGCCGCCTGAAGGGCCTCGTGGAGTTTATCACGTCCTTGAGTCCTCCGATCATACTGATGAACTCCTACCTGACATGCTCAGGGCCGGACTTTAGGGCGGGCAAGTTCTTCCACGAGATCGAGCTGCAGGCATGCACAAAACCAGTGGTCAGCACGCCGAAGGCGAACATGAGCCTGCCTCTGGGATCCAACCTCACCCTGCACTGCTACGCCAAGGCGAGGCCGGACCCTGCTGTGTGGTGGACATATGGTCTGAAGATAATCAGAGGATTTCATGGTAAGAGTGTTATGGACTGTCAGCTATGCTGCAGCTCAGGCGATACAATTCTGTGAAATTAGATACTTAAACTTACATTTTAATCACAGACATATAATGCTTATGCCAGAAAGAGTTACATTTGGATATTTGGTATTTATAATAATAAGCGCCATGCTGTGAGACCGTTCTCCATCACCATTCACTTAAGTTGTTGTAGACTGAAATGCAGCTGTTTACATAATAACGTCGGGTCATGGTGTTACAGAGTAAAGCTCATTTCACTTGATCTTTAGACTGGAAACATTCCTGCTGTCCATGACTTTAAACAAGAATCTCTATCCAGTGCATTATTTACATTTTCATTGTTTGATTGGGTGATCTCCTTAGCTGTCTGCTGGAGACCTGCAACAGCATGTAATAAATTATGCAACTACCACAAGAGATACATTTACTATGATGAACTCACACATCTTTATTAGAGGTGCTAGCAGAGCTGATCCTTTCCACTTTGATCTAGCTGAGATGATGAGTTGATTCCCCTCCCAACATGTGATTCTAAGCATCACTATTTAAACAACTGCAATAGCATGAAATTTTGCTGTGTTACATAGAAAACTTGATGACTAACCTTAATAGGTGGCTGCAGTCTAAGTTCCCTCAGTGAACTCATATTCATAATCTTTAGCATAATAATAGCATAATAGTAGATTTTTATTTATAGATACTGTTGATTTTTCTAAAATGGTGTCAGATATGAAAATTAGAATTTAACATAACTTTTCTTTAACTATAGGTTTCTTAGTTTACCCATTTTACTGGCACAACATAAACACTTTCATAGAATTAAAAATATTAGTTGAAAATTCAGCTACATTGTTTAATATAATTTCCAATCCATTTATAATTTGGACCTTTCACTTTAGTGGAATCCTTGAGAAGAAGATCGCTTCATGAATTTTCAAATGAATATTTAAATAATTTTGCATGATAGAATATTTTTTGACCTGCAGAAATGTTAAGCAACTACACACATTTTTTGTTTTCCCAGAGTCCCAAGAGAGAGTTTCCGATGACACCATCAGATCCCACCTGGTGATTCCTTCCCTTAGTGCAGCAGACCATGGGGTCTACACCTGCACTGCTGTAAACTTCATTGGGAACTCCTCGGCAAGCGTCCTCCTAGATGTCATCTCTGCTGACAGTGCCTTGTCATCTCACGTCGCAGGCTTTCCAGCTGCAACGGGCATTGCTGATCAAAATGTCTTCATTGACATTCGCATCGCCAAGCAGACAGTGCGTGGCATCTCTATTGAGTGGTTCGCTGCCCTTGAACGGCCCTCCGAGACATGGTTTACCATTCACTTTGGTCAAGCTGGTGATGATAAGAAAGAAATGACCTACATTGGGCCTGGAATTCACTCCTACTCCATCTCAGATCTGATGCCTGCCACCAAATATGAAATCTGTGTGACTCTAAAGAACCAGATGCCTCGGCCAGGCCAGTGCATTGTATTTGTGACAGGAACTGACATCACAGAGATGGAGCAGAGGGAGAAGCTAATCCATATAGTCGTGATAGTTTTAGCTATGGTGCTCGCCGTGCCGATAGGCATGTACGTCTGCACCAGTGACACTCGAATTCCCTGCTATGAGGCCATCATAGAGTCGTGGAAGAGAAGACAGAGAGAAAGCAACTCATCTGGGATGGAACGGGAAAGACAGGGCACTTTTGACAGCTTGCAGGCCGCCAGTGATGAGGAGCTGGTCAATAAAGATTTCAATGAAGACAGAAAGGTGAGGAGGAGGTCTGAAGACAGATTCCGTAAGGGCAAAGCCGATCAGAGCAGACTTACCGCTGAACTATACTGAATTAATAGCACATTAAACATGTCAACTTGTAATCAAAATCCCAATTTGAATAAATATTATTTTAGATGTATAATTTAAATGTTTGTGAAGTTATAATTTTTGCAAAAACATTACAAAAATTGATGAGATTTTCAGAAACAACAGATGTAAAAACAAGAGCAAAGTCAAATAAATTATATGAAATCATTATTTTATTTAGGAAATTGATTAAGTATTCAGTTGACATCTTTTATGGGCAGCTGCAGTATTTCACAATTCAATTATGTAATCCTGAAATTGTTGAGGTCAAGTTATTGTGATCATGGGTAAACTGTAATTTTCATTAGTCCGAATACAGCTCTGGAAAAAATGAAGAGCCCACTGCACTGAACCACACTGCAAACCTCCTGGTTCTTCCACCAAATATTGATGTCTGAATTCTTCCTGAGTTAAAATATTAGTATTTTTATTTTTAAAAGAACATGAACTTGGTTTTTTGCATTATTTTAGGTCTGAAAGCACTGCATCTTTTTCTGCTATTTTGACCATGTCTCATATTCTGCAAATAAATACAACATTGTTGTTTGAAATTTCAGAGACATGTTGTCTGTAGTTCATGGAATAAAGAACAATCCTTGTTTTATTCAAACATATATCTATAAAAAGTAAAATCTAAGAAACTATTTATTTCAAGTGAGCTCTTAATTTTTTCCAGAACCTTTCAGAACTTTCTCTTTATTGTTTACCTGTTGGTGGTCATAATGTTATGGCTTTTTCAGAAACTCAATAAAATAAGATCTTCACAGAAGCTCCAGTTGATATGAAGAATAAATAGGATTTTATTTATCCTACTTAAAATATAAATAAAGTCCTTCAGTTGTTCAATAGGCCATCTATTCACTTTTATTTCTCCCTTTATTTAGTTTGTAAAGCTACAACATTCTTCACAACACTAATAATAATAATAATAATAATAATAATAATAATAATAATAATAATAATAATAATAATAATAATAATAATAATAATAATAATAATAATAAAGTAATATCTATTACCTTGGATAATGTTTTAATCTGAATTGTTCTCTTAGGGTTTCTCCACTTACTTACGATTTTAAATTGCGTCTTTAATTCAGGCTAGTAATGTGGAAACAAACAAGCAAATAATAAAACTGTGTCCACATGTTTTCAAATATGGATTTGTAGAACATGACACAGTTTCATGGTTTGGTTTTAATTCTCTCTTTCTCCATTCTAGGCCAAGGAGGTTGTGGGAAAGCTGTGAAAGATGACTATTGGGTCACCAGAGTATTTCAAGGATTTGCAACAGTATAGGAAATTTATACATGCATATATTCAACCGTGTGCATGTTTCTCTCATCATCATTTATTTGCTGATTGAAGTTGAATTATGAAGTTGCTACTTTGACAGTGATTGAAATGGATGGGAATAAATTTCTACTGTAGCGTTCTGTTAGCTGGTTTTAGTGTTTAGACATAAAAACAGAAGGTAGCCAGCTTCATAAAAATGCTTTTTAAATGAATGTCTTGACTAGGGTGTGTTCTGTTCAGATAGTGTAATATTTCTCTAGATAATTGTCTCATAGAATGTCTACATAAAACATCTAGCTGTGGTTTTATTGAAACATTTTATATTTGTCTTCCTTTTGCCAAAACCTTCCTTCCTTTTGCAATAAACGAATAATTGTTTTTAAGCAAAATTCAGTTTGATTTATCACTCATGACTTGTACAAAATGTATGTAAAATGTCCTTTTCCTGAGTAAAAACTACTGTCAAGCACTTGTTGTCTAGTCTGCTTATTCCACTAATGGATCTCTGCTTAAGCCTTGTGTTGTCTTGTGGGTAAAAAGCGACCCACTAACATGTTTAGGTGTAGAAAAAATACCCTAAACCATCTTTTTCCAACTTGAAATTTTATGACTTTTCCTGAAATGACCCTGTCATTAGAAAAAGTGAACCGAGGTACTAAATAAAACTTACTTTTCAACAACAATGTAATTTATTGAACACTACTTTGTATATTTTCTGCTGCTCTCTCGACTCCAAAATGTAGCTACAAGTCACATTTGCACTGAACAGATGGCACTTCGGATATGCAGCAGCCAATGGCATTGTTCATTTGACATAATACCCAAACACTTGCATCCCTCCCACCGTCACTTTATGATCAGATCAGACAAACCAACCCCCCCTGTCTCTTGCATTTTTCTCTGCTCTCTCAGTGACGTAAAGAGATCAGTTCAGCTGCGCTTGGATTCATTTAGGATCAAGATTTAAAGCATCTGACTGAGATTGGCACCTCTCGTTTTCTGCTGGGCAGATGTTTTGTCATTGTTCACATGTGGTCATGTGATTTTGAGGGTGGTGTAAGGTTGTAGCCTTTTCCTGTAAAATCTTTGGTCTCCATATGACAGAAGAAAATGTCACTTTTATTATTTCCCAATTTAATTTGTTGTAAACACTGCTACAACTTATTATTCATTCATGTAATATTGCCTTTATTATTCATTATTTGCTCTAAAAAATGGCTTTTAGCTTAGTAGTATGATGTGTAGTAGACTTAGAATAGTAGATTTATAGAGCTGGTAAACATTATTTGCCCTCTCACTGTTCTCCAGTCAGAGGGAAAAAGAAGCCAAAGCTCAAAAGTTATCAAGGATGATCTATTTCATATTCACCTTTAATGGTCAAAATGTTACCTTAAGGTATAAGTCTGATGAACGTAAACAATGAAATAAATGTCTCCACATTAGGTGAAAGGAATAACTTTTTTATTGAAAGCATAAATGTTTGAACAATAACAGAAACAATTTATGTCCTGAAATATTTATACCATGAAGTGATAAATACATCAAATGTGAATATTAATGGTAATGCAGTGCTTCACATCTGCACAAAATGTTCAAGACCTTCTTTGTTTGACCACTCTGGCTTTCTTCCCTCTACCTGATCCTTATGAGTTGAAGGACTATAAAATCTCTTGGAAGATGTTTGCACGCTGAGCAAGCAATATATTCCCAACAAAAAGCTGTGTCAAATATGTCTTGTCAAAGTTAACAGATCATTAAAGAAAGAAGGGCTCAGTTATTACAATTATGGGATTATTTGATCAACCACAACAACAACAACAACAACAACAACAAAAGATTATTCATTTAGAATTAGGATTTCAATGAGAACAATAATACATATGGCAGTTTGTATTATAAAATTCACATTATATACATGAAATGAAACAGGTTCATATTTTAGTTTAGCTTATTCAAACCTATAAAAGCTTGCATTCATGTACACAGAACAATGCACACACACATACACACACAGCTCTGTTAATGAGCTGTGTAAATAAGCCAATATATTTTCAGTCTCATCACAAAGTGTAAAGAGTGGCAGCTTGTTCTCATCTGGCTGCAGTAGCGAGACATTTCTCAGAAAACTGGACTTGCCAAAAGGACCTTGTGTTGAGATTGCTTATCTTTTTGAAGTGAGATTATTAACTAATAATTCCTTTACACCTGTATCCAAAAGCTGCCACATTATTGACTTTGTAGAAAATAGAAAAAATACTCCTTATCTAGATGTGATGGTATGAGCCCAATTTATACCTCCTGATCCACTTCAATATCTGCTTATCTGCAAAGCATTGTTGCATTAATTTCTTCATAGGAACTTGCCAATAGAGGTCCACAAGTACTTTCAACAGAACTCCACCAGTAACTTTTTTTACTATGATTTTGGCTTCTCTAGTTACATAACCAAACACATGGCAGGTAAAGAAAACTAATTAAAACTTTGGGCAGAAGAAGAAAAACAATGCTTGTTTTCACAAATACAGTGTGGGAAGATCGGCTGGTTTCCTCATTTGGAAAATGTATATTTCTCAGAGCTCACGGTGATACAAACACGGTGTTGTTAATGAGGCTGTCATAAAAAGTTTGTATATGTTAAAGGCTTGAACAGCTGACCAGATTTTTAACCTCTGCTTTTGCATTTATTTCCACAGGTATGAACAGTTTTACTATAAGCTGATTTGCAAAAATGAAAATGAATTAGGCTACCTTCTAAGTTCTACAAACTCTCCGATATGACATCTGTCTATGGCAGGTAGAGGAATTATTACCAATAATGAAGCTCACTTGACAAAATCTTAACAATCTCTTTACGTGTTATAATGTGATGCCATCTTCTTCTGCTCCAGTCTCATCTTCAGTTCTGAAACTAATGCTTTGTTTACAGTGTCCCTTCTGTCTATCGTCGGCTTCTTTTTGGGTTTGGGGACCACAACTGCAGAGACTGTGGGTACGGTCCAGTGTCGTTCTCCTGGTACATAGGTGGGCAGCGGAGGGGGCAAAGAAGGTGCGCAGGGCGGTGGAGGCCAGTGTCTTACAACAGTACTAAAATTGTTGTTGTAGTTGACATTATTCACAACCTCCTCTGGTTCTTCCTGTTCCTCTTGGACTGTGAAATCCTCTCTTGGGGTCTCTGATGACTTAAATGGGCTTTTGAAGTTCCAGAAAGGCTGTTTCGGCGGCCTTCTCCGTACTCTGCGGTTGGGCAGGATCCGATTGGACTTTTTGTTACGCAGGAATGTGGCGGTGGAGATGATGACTGTGACCATGACCACAAGGCTAATGATACCAACGAGCATACCTATGATCTGTAATGAGTTGTTTCTATTCAACTCTATAAATGATCCCAAAGGCCCCCCTTTCAGTTGAGTCTGTAAAAGAGCACAAGGAGAATTCAAATCCATGAGACTGAAATCACACAGAGATTTACTGTTCTGTAATGCTGGTATTGATCGATTGGTGATATGTTCAGAGCTATAAATTGCTTACAGCTCCGTACTTTTAATTTGGTTTATATGCATTAAATTGATTTTTTCTTTAACTTTTTTAGGTTTTGACAAGATCAGAGAGGTTAATGGAGGAACCAATAGACCATTCAGCATTTGAGGAGAACAATATTAGAATAACAGAAAAAAACTTAAAAATATACTTTGAAAAATCCAATCCAAAAATTTGAAAGGAACAATTCCTTGTTGTGCTGTAATTAGGTGACAAACTTGCAAATGTTAAAAGATTGTGCTCTCTCATGTATTCTTTTACAGACAAAGTCTTGCTGTACTACAAAGTCCCCTGAAAATGAATAGCTGCAAATTCTTGGAACCACAGAGTGAAAACAACAGAGCGGCTGTGCTGAGGATCTCAAGGCAAGTTTCGTTTATGGCACAGGCCTCCGTACAATCTTTCTGATCTTGCCCTGAGGTTGTACACGGGTCTTTTTCACAGATTTCCAGTACATAGCGGTTGAAATGACGATTGTTAGGGAGACAGCAAAGGTCACAAGGGTCAAACAAATCCCAAACACTGCCCCGGGACGTTTCCTTAGACCCAGGAAGTATGAGACAAATCTGGATTTGATCTGAAAACATCACAATTGCATCCATGAGACATTTGTGGCTATAACTTTTCAAAAATATATGTTTTAAGAAAATTCTGCACATTTATGATTCACTCTAAAACAGTCATACTTTGAGGGAAAGTATGAGTAAGAAAAAAATAAATGTGTGCAAACTACAGACAAACTATTACTTGACTTACAGCTTCAGTGATGTCGATCTTGACAACTGCAGTGGTGCTGAAGGACGGCTGACCCCGGTCACGAGCCTGGACTACCAGGGACCAACTGCAATCTCTCTTCTTGGTAATATTCTGAATGATAGCCATTGACTTGATGTAGGACTTTAACTTGATTTCTCCTGTGTCAGCATCTATGTCAAAGATGTTGTTGTCTGGCTCGGCCTTCATGATGGCGTACTCGATAACATTGTTGGGTACTTCTGCGTCGTCGTCCACAGCCTGTAGGGAAACTGTTCTTACATACGGCAGTTGTTCCAAAAAAATATGTTTGACTGAATTTTAATTCATCTACATCCAGTAACATAACAGTGCATACTTCTATTTTCACTGGCGCTCCAATCACCATTGTCTTCTCCAGGAAGTTATCGTTGAAAGCAGGCGGATGGTCATTCAGATCCAACACAGTCACAAAAACTTCAGCCAGACTGTACTTTCCCTCAGCATCCTCTGCCTTCACATAGAAGTTATATTTAGATCTCACCTCAGCATCCAGACTCGCCCAGGGCTGAGTGTAAATGATCCCGGATGTAGGCTGGATCAGAAACCTGTAAATAAATGGAGTTGAATAGAATTTTTCCTAACTTTCACTGAGTGTTTCAAGTAAACATGTTACTCAATCAAATTATTACAGTATGACCAGGTAATCTTAAATAACCAGGATTGGTATTGGAAACAAAAAATACCATAACTGGGACATCCCCAGTGTCATCTCTTCTTAAACTTTAATAAAGTTCTAGCTAAACATAACTAGAACTTTGAGAAGAAAAAAAAAGGATTCCACATCTTCATAATGTAACTGTGAATTAAAAGACAACAAATGAAGTTAATTCTAAGAAGCTTGTGATTCATTGTGAAAAAGCACATGGGTAAGTGCAGCCAAATAAGAATACAGCTTCCGAGCAATTCAAAACATTTAGCAAATCTGACAATCTGCAAATAAATCCATTTGATGAAATGAAATATCATTTTGTTGAACCATTAAAATTTATGCATATAAGTCAACCTCAAAATTTCAGATTATCACCAATTTACTTGGGAGTCACAGTCTAAGTGAGATTTGTGTTGATATGAAACACCCATCTTCCATATTGTTGATCTGTTTCTAATGTGTATTGCAGCAAATAAGTATTGTGAGATAATTGTTAAAAAAATAAAAAATAAAAAAATAACCATTTTAGCTTATGCTGTTTTTTCCTGAAGTAGCACTGTTGTTTTTCATAAGAATTGCAGTGAGTTTGGAATTAGGTCTTATTTACTGCCTTGCTTGCTTGACTAACAGTGAATTTTGTTGGAGTGCAAGGTACGCAGAAGCAAAGAGCAGTCTATTTTCTCCTCCAATCCCATTAAGGGATTAAAGCAGACCAAGGCTGATACATACTGCGTTGCTCTCTGACATCCAAGAGAATATGTCATTCTAAAGTATGGTATTTTACCCATGAAGGAAGAATTTGTTGAAAGTATAACACGGGATAGATGTCAAATGTTTTTGATTAAACAAACATGTCATCGTAAATGTTCCAAATCTCTGGCTGATGCTTATTTTGGAAATCCTTTGCACTGCCATGTGACATCACATATCGGCTTAAACTCATTACTGCAGAACTCAAAATCTGCATCAAATATTCATAAAAATATGAACCACATGAGATTGTTACGGTGAGCAGACCTTGTTAACAAAGCTCGTGTCATAACATAAGAGTTTATTTTAATTTGCCTTTTAGTTTTTAAAAAAGGACACATTTTCAATTTGAAAAGTGATTGCTGGTCCTTCATATGAGGGGATTTTAAAGGAAACAGAAATTTGGTGGACTTTCTTCTGTTCACAAAGGAAGAACAAAGACCCTTTAGATATTTTCCTAGAAGTAGAAATCGGTGGATTCCCGAGGTTACAGCACTGACAGGCATTGAAAGAAAATTAATTTGAAAACAACAAATAGAAATAACCAAAATATGTGATTTTTTTTTTATGTTTCTGTGGCAACAGATATCTTTGCTGTTTTTCTTGTGTTTGTTCCAGGTCCAGATATATTTAAAATTTTATGTTATTCAGTTGCGAAAACATGACACTGGCAATATTGTTGTTTTTATTGTTGGTGTGAAAACAAATTCTCTCTTACACATGGACAAAATACACAAAAAAGCCACAAAATGTCATTTTTAAAGTGCTTGGATGTTTGAGTACATAACATAATGTATAAATTATTTTTACAAAATTTATCTCAATTAATAAGACTGGCTAATTTATGTGGACAATTGCTACTTATCCACATAAATATGCACCTCACATGTTTAGAATATTGGTACATTTTTTCTGAAACTGTGTCCTTTTAATTCTACTTTACAATTATGCTCTGTGCTACCATTTAATTAGGTTTTATTTATCTTAAGAACATGAAAAATTTTAACTTCTTACTTGTGCAAGGTGACCACTGCATTAATAATGTGATGTCAGCCTACATACTGTAATAAAACAGAACTAAATTTCTTACAAATCTTGGCAGTACTCACATGTCAGCCCCCGATCCGTAGATAGAGTATTTGACTTCACCCCACGGTCCTGAGTCTGGGTCTAAAGCCTGAAAACAATCACCAGCGACACATTAGCAAGTGGAAGAAAAAAACATGATGTGCTTGGACTGATTGTATTTGCGAAAGAAATTTCTTATACTCAATAGTTCAGTTTTTTATAAAAAGAGAATCTCATTATATTTATGTTTTATTCACTTGAGTCATGAGAACTCGACTCAGTTTGCTGGATAAACCGGTCATACACATGATGTTACAGGGGTTAGGCCTGGAAAAAAAAAAAAAGAGTGCCTTTTTTTATGACGGAATATTATCCTGGGCTTCGGCTAATCTGTCTGTCTGCAGCTGCTGGGAGGTCTGTTCAGTGTCTCCATGTGTCCAAGGTCACTTGTTGGCTGTTCTTTTATCTGATTGAAATTGCCAGGGATCAAGGCAAAGAGCCTGTGTGGTGTTTGCTCAAGGCCAGGACTTATTAGTCAGACTCCCTGTGGCTTTTGATCTGATATGAACTGACAAGGGCAGTAGATATGTTACAGCAAACATCAATCATTTCAGTGTGTCCTTTAAAGTTTTTGTTTTACACTTGGACATATTTTTGCAGCTATATGTCCTGCTACATGTTGGGGGCTGACCAGGGGAGGGGTGGGGTAAAGCCAGGGAATTTGCTGTTACACAACAAAATGAAAGTGATAGCCATCTGGCAGCTTACCTCGCCTAGCTTTTATCTACATGATTTCACATATTATCCCAACCCCCACAGCCCAAAGAGTCTACATTTAGAGAATTAAAGAGCCCTGTTGAGCATTTTGTCCAAATCACCACTGCGTTATAGCTCTGAGTGACGTATGTCCGTGCTGGCATGTATTTTTAGATAAGACAAGAAGTCTCTCACCGTGACTGACACCACATTTGAGCCGCCGGGTGAGTTTTCGGGAATTCTGGCGATGTAATAGTCCGAGGAAAATTTGGGAGCGTTGTCGTTGGTATCCAGAAGGTGAATGATGATGTGTGCTGTGGCGCTAAATCTCTCTGGAGTGTCAATCTCAACTGCAAGCAGCTGAAAAAGACAAAAATAGCTAAGGCATGTTTTCAACTTCAAAACAGTTTTTTAGGCTATGGCAGGAAGAAAATTGTATTGAATATGTTAGTTTTATCAGTGAATATTTTATCATGGGGGGGTTGTACATAAAATTCTCACAAGAAATTGGTGACATCTCGGGCTTGTCTACAAATCTACAAACACCAATAGCTCATAATTTTGTTTAAAAAGGTGGCATGACCCAGACAAATAAATAAAAAAACTATTTTGGTCATAAAAAAGTTAAGAAGGCTTGTATATGGTCAGACGCATTGCTCAAGCCACTTGCTATCACAAAGTCTTAAAATTTTGGAGGTTCTGTGAGACTCATCTATAAACTCTGACCTTCTGTTTTTGGAGTGATGCACAGTGATTTCTGCCTCCTCCAACAATGGTGTGTGCAGTCACTTTCTGTGAAAGTTTCACAGTATTTCATTGAGGACCATTGGGTTTGACTATATGGCTTCTTGTTTTTATGAAAAAAAAAATGTTTCTGCTAACTTTAGATTTTTGTAAAAGTCCATGGTCTTTGACTCATGGACAACTTTTCTGAAAAGTCCAGATTAACTTTTTTATAGCCCATCAAACAGGTCATAACCAGCAGACATTTCTTACACTGGAAGGGAATAGGACTGTCTTCTAAATCCTGATAGATTAAGGCATCTTCTCGTCTTTTGATCGATTTTTATGTCATCTTTGCTTCCTGTGCAATTATTCCCTGTTGTTATTTAACGTTTTTATGTCTAATCTCATTTATGGACCTAATGGCTTCTATTGTGTGTTGGCCACTTGGGTCATCAATTATAAACTTTTATGCCTGTAGTCCTGTCAGAAAAATGTCTATTTCAGAAAACATTGACATTTTTACGTTTTCCACCATATTTTGTTAAGAGGTCACCTTGTATGTCAGAAAGTGATGCTTCTCATAGTCCATGGCAGCAGAGTCCTCCACTAAGATTGTTACTTGGGCCTCATTGAGTACAGTCTGGGGGACGGCTCGCAGCATTCGCCCTGGTCCAATCAATCTTAGATTAAATTTGGCATTTGCACCCTGCAAGAGCATGAACATACATCAACATGCCATTCAAAAATTCAACACATGTTATGCTCAACCAACAGAATAATCTGAGTTGCATGCTGTCTTTCCTGTTCAAGTAAAAGCTTTTTGTCCCTAATTGCTATAGTAATAAGAGTTAAACCACTCAGATAACAGCTTAAGTAATAATACCCTGAGTGAAACATGATGTTAGTGGACATAAAGAGTCTGCTCTTGTGAGAGCATTATCATAGAAAATCCATCCAGCATCATCCAGTAATGTAGCTTTTAAAAACAAAAGGCGCTTGTGTAAGTTGACAAATGGCACAGCATGCACCTTTCTGACTTGATTTCAAATGCATGGGATATTAATGGGAATGGGTTTTGATAATGGTAGGCTTAGAGCTCTTTCTTAACATCATGGCACTCTCCTAAACACACAGTCATTGTTGATTAAACCTGCTTCTGATTAGATAACGACATAATAATTTCACAAAATTAGTATCATTATATAACAAATCAGACCTGGCAGCCTGGAGTGATGGTGGTGTTTTATTGTTAATGCTACATAATAATATCTGCTGTGGTAAAATTTCTATGAACAACAAGAGATCTCCTACCTTATCAGAGTCATTAACTGTGATTTTCAGCCCCCGCAGTATTTCTCCCTCTGGTGGATGCTCGTACATGGTCAACTCAAACATATTCTGTGGACCATTCTCCCCATAAAAGGTTGGGGGATTATTATTTAAATCCACCACACGTATCACCACTGTGGTCACTCCGTAGTCCACATCTTTGGCTTCTGGACTTATTTCTGTTGCCTGTCCGAGGGGACAATATTGGGTGATTTTGTTTGCACAACATAAACATAGAACCATTTATTTGTCATCTGTCCCTATCTCAAATCACAAAGGAGCAAAATGCTCAGTAAAAGCAAAATAAACAATAATACCATAATTAAAAGAGTTTGAACGTTTGCTTTCCTTATAAGTTAAGGACATGCATTACCCTGACTTTAATGTTGAAGACTTCTCTCTTCAGATAAATGGGAGCAACCAGCAGGGAGATGCAACCGCTTGTCTTATTAATGCTAAATACACCATCATCACCTAGTGAGACAAAAAAAAGGCATAAAAATTAATTATTAATTCTTACTACTTTAGCTTTAAGTTTCCCCACAAATTTTTGCTGTGAAGGCTCACCCTCTTCGAATGAATAACTGACTGGATTTGGGTTTCCCACATCTCCATCTTCAGCACTAACTGTAAATATTTCAGATCCCTGTCAAAGAAAAAAACTGAGTATCATTTTTATTTATTTTTTGCCATTGTGGTCTATTCTAATAACTTTCATAAGCTTAACAAATACATGTTAAATACATCACAATGTGTGTAATAAATTTATGTAATAAATTGGTTTCACCTTTTGAATTGAGTTTATTCTTTTATTTGTCAAAACTTTAGAACAGATATGGATGTTATATGCAGAGAGTTATAATGACAAATTATAATAGGAATGTGGTGTGACTATGTGTTTCATTCAAAGTTCTTGGGAGATGTTTTGACACTCACCGGCACTGAGATTTCGTAAACATAGCCAAAGTAGGGGGTTCCGATAAAAAAAGGTGGAGTGTCTTGTGCATCAATCACATTGATGGTGAGCGTCGCAGTGGATGACATAAATTGTTCCTTGCCATTCAAGCTGCCTCCCCCATCCTTAGACAAAGACATTGAGATGCTCAAACAACCATTTCTTTCCTAATACTCATCTAAGAGATTTTTAAATAATAGTTTCATTGAACAACAGCAATGCTTCCTTCTTTTCTGTTGCATGGCACTGGAACACACTTTAATAGAAACTTGAAACAATGACATGTCTTAAAACATCTAGCAGCTGAAGGTTTAACTTGTTCAAAACTACTCGCAGCTTCATTCAGTGAGGAAAGTGTTGAAGTGCGAGTCAGAGATAAACATTTTTTTTAAAACTTGTACCTTTGCAATGAGAGTAACGAAGTGTGTCTTTGTTTTCTCATAATCCAACATTTGTCCAGATTTGATACGGAGGACTCCGCTGTTTATGTCAACCGTAAACAAACTGGAGTGTGGTGACTGTAACAAAGGAAAGAGCAAGAAAAAAAAGCAGGATTGAAATCTAGTAATACAAGCCTGTAACTGAAAGCCCTTACAAAACATAACACACGTGGAGGTGGTCAGATGAAAGAATTTTAAAAATTGTCAGCAGCTGTTTGAATTATCCAACATCTCTGTATCTGTCGATTTGAATGTACTAAACCCCATGTGATTATAGACGTAGCAGACTGTAGAATGCTGCTATAACCAAATGTGAACACTCCACATTCATCTCTGTCTGTCACATTAAGGCCAGCTGTTCTATAGTCCCAATAGCCCAAAGTGCAAACTAGCACTACCCACCACCCACCGCCAAAGCAGCCCTCTAATCTTTCAGTACCTGACTCTAATGTGATTGTGATGTAATCCCTGCCTTCAAAATAACAACACCACATGCAAGCAAATGAACAAATGTGAATGTGCAACAAAATCTGATTGATAGTAACTAGAAAAGAGCTTCATCTGTACATAGAGTTGGTCATGCAAATCGACATTAGCTTAGTTCATGAGACATACCTGGAGATGGTAGGTAACTGAGCCTCCAGAGCCCGTGTCTCTGTCTACAGCCTCTACTTTGTAGATACTTCTACCAGATTCAGTTGTCTAAATTTTGCAAGGTAGACAAAAACAATTTCACATTTATGTGAGCACTTTATTAGGTAAGAGTCTCTTTTGGTTATGAAATTAAAACTCAGACATCAGTTTATCTTACTTCCAACACGTCTATGATTGCAGGCATGTTTTGGAATTCAGGCTTTTCATCATTTGCATCCGTTACAAATATTGTGACTCGTTCAACAACCTGCAAAGAATAAAAATGATGTCTGATTTATTTTAAACAACAACCAGACTTCATCCTTAAAACTATCCACAACATTAAACCTACTGAAGGGTGAATTAAGCAACACTGAATATCTTGGGTTGTCACACTGGTGATGCTTCTAGTATGTTTTTGGATGTTGAATATGCAATTCTAGAAAGAAGTTGGCTATTTTTTTTTCTCGTTGAGGTGCTTAATATAATGAAAAAAATACATATATTGAATGCTATTAATTGTGGTTCTTAAACAGAAATTAGATTCAGGTATAATAGCAAAATCAGAGCACTAAAACACTAACGGTCTGAAATCATGCAGAAAACTCCAATCAGTGAACCATAAGATTTACAGAATAAGATTTACAGAATAAGATTTACAGAATAACACTTTTCAAAATTCCATTGTTGAAAAGTGGCATTTATTCCAAATAGTTATAGAAGGTGTCTAAAAATCCTCCAAGTTTCTTATATCAATGACATTTTTGGCAAATGGTTTGTTTCCTTGATTCATTATTTTTCTTTAAATACCTGGCTTCTTCCATCTGTGATGCTGATATTAACATCAACTGAATCTTGTTTCTACATAAAAAGAAAGAAAAATACATTTTGTAAAGGTTCAACAATGCTTGTGTGAATTTATGTTTCAGTTTTGTGCTTACCTCTCTATCCATTGTTTCCACTAATGTAATATTTCCCGACTTTGGGTCTACCCTGAAGTACTCCTTTGACCCTGGGTCAAAGGAAAGACCATACCTCACCTCTTGGCCTTCAGGATCTGTGCCATTGAGTTGATAGATTTGTGTACCTAAAGAAAGACAACACTATATCATAAATCGCAGTGATAAAGTTTCCTGACTGATAGAAGGTGAACCACATTCACCGTGATCAAGCAGTTCCTCACATCAACAGATGGTGACAGCAGACGAACATTTAATGAGCTGTCCAACTATCAAAGATTAGCTAGCATTCTGAACTCTCAGACACCAAAGTTACCAAAGCCTCAAACTGGACTGTCATCATTTTAGAGAGGTGGATGAGTGGGGTCTGTCTCACCAACAGGGGTATCTTCAGAGAGGCTGAACAGGGCCAGGTTCCCATTGTTGCTGGATGGGCCATTGTCGTAGAAATAGGGAGCAAAGTCTGCCTGAGCTGAGGATGGAAGCATTATTCCACCAAAGTTTGTGAAAAGAAATGCATTGCAAAACATTTTTTTGCATTTAGCCTTAATCAGAAACTAAAGGTCCTTAAATTCTTGAATGCTTGTCCGTTCTTTCATTTGTTAATTTTGCAGCTAATCCTATGTAATATACCATACATAAATACAGACATTTGTTTTCAAGTCCCATTGGCTGGGATTACATCAGCCTGCTTAGCTGACATAAGCACGCTAAACATAGTCAATACATTTTTACTAAATTTATTTAGCATATATCTACAGACGTAATCATAGCTACACCCCCTAAATATTAATTTGACAAATTAATTAATATAGTGAAATAAGCTTGACATCCATAAACAAGAAAACACACAAAATTTATAACTATGAATTTGTAAATCCAAAAATATCTATTTAAATAAAACTTGCACAATGTAATCATACCAGAGACTCTTAAAATCTTCAACTATCTCATCTTATATAATCACCTGTACGTTGACTATTATTGAAGAAAACTTACCTAAGCAGGTTTGTACAAACACAAAAAGCAGTGGCAAATTAGAAATCTCCACATTCTTCATCCTACAAAATGAAGTGAAGAAGCCGCACCATGAAGACAGCTCTGTTGAGAGTCATGCAGGTGCAGCTCACAAGGTGTTTTCCAATGGCTGCAGAAGGCTAAAAGCAGATGCTTACCTGGTAATCCAATGACTGCTAAGATTTACTCAGTCCAAAAGGGCTTCATCATGCAGAAAGCCATACCATCCTTCAAATACAAAATAGGTAATATCAACAACTCTGTTAGTAGGTCATTTATTTATTTTTCTTTTTGATATTTTTGCTCAGAAACATGTAAAATTGTAAAGGGAAAAGCACTTGATGATCAAAAGTTAATTCCGTTATTATGGTCTTGGTTGCTCTTTTATGGCCAAACAGTTCTAATTTAGTTTCATCAAACAACAGATACACCTTTGAAATTGAAGGTCTTTGTCCCTGGGTGCATTTGTAAGTCGTCATCTGGCTGTTTTGTTTCTAGTTTCCTCCTCCCTGAGTGGCTTTTCGGCCCATGTTGATACATAATACGTTTCACTGTGGATAATGCTTCTGCCAGCATCTTCACAAGGTCTTTGGCTCTTGCTCTATGGTTGATTTGGTTATCACTACTAAGTATCACAAGTATTAATTAAAATACATAGGGTGATGTGGATACATTTCTTTCTTTGTTTTGAATTAATGATAATGTTAATGTAATTCTGTTGTAAGAAAGGAAAAATGTATGTCAGTGGGGTAGATAAGTTTTAAAGTTTTTCCCTAATATCCTACAGATTCTAAATTTTACAAAATAAATCAATCAATAAATAAAATATCTTAGGGTTTTAGGTCACGTTGCCTTTTTTCACACCAAAACCTATTTCTAGAACATTGAATCTCCTTCCTGAACAGTAATATGTTGATCATACTAATGAGCAAATATTTACACAAGATGAAAGCAGCATTTTCTTGCCTGATTTCAGTTTCATCAAATGAAAAAAATGTGTTTGTATTGCCATAAAATACATCAGCAGGTCTGGCTTCGTTACTCTATCACTTACCATGAAGATTTTAAATCTACACTGCAACCTGAGAACGGCAGGAAATACCTCACAATATTAAGAAAAACGGCAAACCACTCAGTAAGTTACTGCATATAGTTTGCATGCAGAAAAAGAAAAACACAGAGACCAAATAAGATTTTTTTTTAAAAGATCTGAACTTCTGTAGCTCTCAAATCCCCACCAATTTTTTACATTTTAACAGTGTTTTCAGACGCCTCCAAGTCCTCTTTCACAAAACCAATCACCTGTTAATCTGCATCTGCTGTTGGTAACGTTCAGGTTGTACCTTCAGGTTTTGCTCTCCTGGTATTGGCAGATGGCGAGCCTGAAGATTAACCCACTGTGCTCTAATCTCTCTTCATCTTGTAATGCACAGACCCTCCATGATGAAAACAGACTCCATCAAACGTGAGCACATAGCACAATTAGCACTTGTGCACAATTAGAGCACAAGTGTAGTCATGTGAACAACACTGTTGGAAATGCAGCAATTGTGTGCTGCTATTTACTTTCCCAAGCAAATAGTGAACATTTTTTCCAGATTTCTTCCTGTTTTTAAACTCAGTTAAACTTTTATATTGTAAATACTAAAAATGCTAAAATAAAAAAAAACATCTAACAAATATAAAATGTGATAGTAAATGGACATAAATATTTGTAGTGTATTTTCAAGAATGAGATAAAATATATGATTAAAAGAAAGGTCGCTGCTCGTCTTTAGTCATCTTCTTAGTTTCTAATCCTGTGACTGGAATCAGTGCAGCACATGCTGATCTCTTGTCCTCTTGGTGGCAGAGTCATTATGCTGCATTGAAAAGAAACTTAAGAGTGATATTTATCTTTACAGCATATGGCTACATGTGACACACTAGATTTAGATTAATGTCCTTGATAGAGATTGGCTTGCCCTGTCTTTCCCTTGATGCAGTCAATGCTGAAGGATTTGTGTTCATCCACTGGCTGATAGGACAATTCACCAGATGGACCAAAAGGATATGCTAACTTTAAAAGGTTTAGACCCAACATGGAAACAAACAAATTTCAAGGAATCAAAAGTACCAGAGAAGGAAGCATGGATAGTAACAGGATTTTCCCTCACATGTGAACAGCTGAAGAAAAACAGACGATGTCTTACTTTTTGACCCGGACACATCAATCAGCCAGTCTTTATCCATAGAGCACTTTTCATTCACAATGAGGTAAATGCAAACGGTTAAACTTTTTCAAAAGAGAGTCAATTAAATCATATGTTACAGGGCATAAACTTGGTTTTGAGCTTTTTGAACAAAATAATTAAGAATTTTACAAGTACAAAAATGAAACAAAAATACACACCTTTACACAAATATTCTAGAAGAGCTGGATAACTAAAGAACCACAAGCAGTTTCAATGTCTTGCATAGATACAAACATATGGGAAAGTATTTGTCCTATTTTGGTGTGCCGTATAAGAACACGTTATTCGTTTGTATCTTGGAACACGTTCCTGGCTGTTCATCAGGAAGCTATGTTAACAAGAAGAGCTTCAAGTTGCATTAGTGTGGCTCAAAGTTGTTTATGTGCCTCTAAAACATGAGGGCAAAAAATTTTGTGAAGTAATCATGTACATTACAACTAAGCAGTTTATCTTTAAGACATGAAAGACATTTTAGACTACAAGATTCCCAAAGATAAAAATAAAACTACCTAAACACACACTTTAAATGAATTATTTTCATTTCACAAGTAATGCCAAACTTGTGATAGCATGGTATATTAAAGAAAAAAAGAGATATTTGTTCTGGCTTGTATTAGGTACAGAGATTTTAGAAGTGAATAAAAATATATTGAATGATAAGTGATTGTTTATCATTCATATTTGAATAGAGTTTTCCTGGCAGAACACCATTTTCCGAAAATGGACTGAAACACATCAGATCATCTGAATCGTGTCAGTCTTAGAATTGAATCCCTCAGTTTGTATGAGCACCTGTTTGCAAGACGCCCAATTCAGCTTTGGTATTTTGGATTATTATTGATAATCTCTTGTGCATTTTGCCAAGGGCAGAAGTCCGCTTTTAGTCCCGGTCCACTCTAAAACTAGGTCATGTCTTTAATCTCTGCATGCAGAACACACTGTAGGTTAGCAGCCTTTTATTTTCATAAATCCCAGAGTGCTAAAGCAGAGTGAATACACAGTTTTAAATCATACAAAATCCTAAAAGATATGACAAACCACTTTGGGACAAGTCATCATCAACTCAGATGAACTGAGATGATTATTAGCAGCTGTCCGTTGAAGAGCTAACCTGATCCAAGTCTATTGCACACATTCTTCTAGTATTTTATCTGCTTTGACCATTTTTACAGATGTATACCTTTATCTCTAGAATATCAGCAGGCAGATAGTGTAACAGCATGGTGATTTACACAAATGAAAAGCTATAATGCAATTGTAGAAGGTTGGGGGGTTTGCCAAATAAAACTGCAGTATTTCAGTTTATCAGTAAAAGAATTTTCTCAGTTTTTTCTCATGGTCAGATAATTCAGATCATAACGTAAATGTCTTATGGGACAAAACCTACCTGATCAACATGAGCTACAGCTTTTGAACGATAAGTTCAGTTATTAATAGAAACCACAAAGCAGCTCAGTCGGGCTCTATGTGAAAAAGTAACTATTCAACCATGAATTTGACTGTAAGGAATCAGTTCAATTTCACAACCCCAAATGAGCAGACATGTAGTCTCATGAAATCACTTGAATAAAATCTACCCAACAATATGAAGTGGGGTAAAAGATTTAAAAAGGAACATATTAATGCCACAATTCAAGGATATTTGAAAACATAACACAAAGTTATTGATATACAGTAATTTTGAAAGATTTGGGACTGCAGTTAACCACAGTATGAACCATTATCTACAAATGAAGAAAACATGGAATAAGTAGAAAGGCCACAAAAGTTACTCCATTGCTTTGTGTAGAGGTCACAGAGGAACCTATGACAACATCTGCAGCAGAGAAGACCTTAATTAAGATTAGGTTTCTTGATTCAACACAAAGAAAGTGACTGAGCATAAGTGTCATAAATGGCTTCCAAACCCATTACTGACAGAAAAGAGCACAAAAGTCTTCTCACATTGTCCAATAGTCATTTCTATAATCTTCCATACTTTAGAGGAAATATTCTGCAAAATAATATTTCAGAAAATTAACACCAGGCTGACAAAAATCAGCCCAGTAGAAATAAATCGGACAGCTAAATTATCACTGGGGACTCTCCCAGATTCATGTCGTGACAAAACTTTTCCTGCTAGTTCCATACAGAAACTTCCTTGTGCACAATTTTCAAAAACATACAGATTGCCGGAGTTCTCAGCACTAGCCCCCAAAGGGTTTACCAACGCTACTCATCTATCCAAACAGAGCGTAATTTATTCTTTAGTTAAATTTTCCCATTTGAAAAGGCAGTATAATATGTTAGTTTATAGGAGAGAGGTAAAAATATTGGTGAGTGACTTGGGATAATTACTAATGTACGTTGCATTGCTTGCATAAGTTCAAATTCAAGTGGTGATTGAGTTACGCTGCTACCCTCTAGTGACAAAATGGTGGCAATCCACTGTAGTAGAAATTCAAATCCATTTTTTTCTGTCACAACAGACAAGTAATGATTTAGGATATGTGTCTATTTGAAGCCGTATTATGTTGTAAAAATAGCAGTGCAAACCTCGTGGGATTTTGGTGACAATGTCAGCATATCACTTCTGAAGGTATGTAAAAAGCTAGTTTTCTTGCATTTTTAGACATCTTTGAATGTACCAGCACAACCAAAAATAACTTTTATAAGACAAATACCACAGCAAAGAAGGAGATCATAGCTTAAATACTTTTTTCTTTCAAACTTCTAAGTTTATTTATGTTTCTTATGGATTTGGTGCAAGTTTGCATCAAACTGTCTGACTTGTTTTAGGTATAGTTCCAGAAGCTTTTCTCATTCATTTTTTGAAATGTTCCTCCGGAGTCCTGACTAGCCTTGATTACACAGCCCTTCAGTTCTTCAGTTTATGCCTCAACCTCATCATGCAATTACAAAAAAGACATAAAAACAGGCATAGCGTAATTGACATAGTGTTTATCCACGCTGGTCATGAAAATGAAATGCAAAAAAAAAAAAAAAAAGGCAAAACTTTTCTTTCCCACCTACAAACAGATCAGTTAAGAATAACTGACTCTTTGCTAAGAACCATAGTTGCTCTACACTCCCTTACATAGGCACACAGTGTTACTCCAAAGCCTTTTAAGGTTCAAAAAAAGGCTTTGAATAATTTTGCTTTACTCTGCTGCCTCCAAGTGGTCCAATGCTGTTTATGCACTGGGAAGGTAATTTATTGCTACTGGTTTAAAGGTATTTCTTATAACAAGGTTTGTAAGTAATCTTAATCACAGTAATATTGCCTCTTTCAACCGACTGGAGACATTTTGTGCTACAGAAAATAAGTGAAGACTCTGAATCACTTTCAGGATGTGTGATCGGCTTATCTTGTGACAATCAACTGTGTCATCACATTCAAATTTATAGAAAAAACAAATACTGTAAACAGTCACATTCACATTCATTCGTGTAACAAAGAGATCAGTTTGTATCACTTTAAAGCCATTCCAGATACCATGTTAAACTAATTGATTAAATCATCCCATTAGCTTCCTGCAGGCCCTCGTGATGAACAAAACATCTAGAGGAATGGACCCTCATTTAAAGAAAGAAACTAACTGCACAATATAATATACAATAGCACTTTGCACTGATTTGTTGCTGAAATGTGCTTTGCAAAAAATTCTTTGCATGGTTTCGACCTCAAACAACTTAACTAAAGTGTCACCTCTGCCGAACTGAAACAGAAACCTGAACACAAAAGAGAAACTTAATTATGTTTACCAGTTAAGGCAAGTTACAAATAAAAGCCAGCAGCAAGAAAAGGCTCAGGAACGGGAGTTTACACATCTAAGAGTTGCTATTAATCCACCCTGAAATGTGATTGGAACAAACAATCCTCAGTAACACCTTCTGTCAGAAAGTGGGTCAAAAATATCATCAAACTATAGTGGAAGCAAATGAATAAACAGCCTTGCTTTAAAGGCAACTCGAAACATACACTCAATTTCAGACAGTGAAATAAAAGTTACGTTTTTTTATATACGGTGTAAGTAAAAATCTGATTTCAGCACTACTATTCTTTACGTCGAGAAATTAAAATGTTTATTATTATTAATAAGATATGTTAGACATAAATCTGTAAACGAACTCTCGGAGGCATTGCCATTACGCTAGGTGAAAACCAGAGGTAGCTATATATTTTTTGGGCTTGGTCGCTCCACCTTCCTCTCTCTTAATTTGGCCTGGCGGTGGCTTCTTGTCGGCGCCTCCACTCTTCATCCGGCAGAGGAGAGCAGCCCGCGTCCCAGCACACATGCAGCACAGTGAGGCAGTGTGTCCGCCACGGAGGAGACAAAGCTGCAGGATGCGTCCAGGAGACGGGGATTTGCGCAGGACAAGGGACGTTTTACTCGACTGCCGCGGAAAACTCTGCAGAAGGTTTGTTAAATCCACTACCTAAAAAAATAGCAAGAGAAAAAAAAAAGCCACGTTTTTTTTTTTTTTTTTTTTTTTTCTGACAGGAAATGAGTGAGAGAGCTGGTCGAAAATAAAACGCGAAGCGCAACAGCCTCGGACGGAGAGCTTGTAACAGATATTAGTTCGCATATCAAGGACTTCAGATGTTAAATATTGATAAAAAACCTGCATGACTTCTATTTGTGGAATTTATTCTCATCCTAATGTACTGATTATAGATCTAAGGTTAAGGGAAATCAAAAAGATATTGTGCATAATTCTTAGAACAAACTAACATTTTACTTAGACTAAACTAGATTAAATTTTAATCTCTTTTTTTTCTTTTATTTTCAGACAGAAAGTAGTATATAAAGTAGTCAGTCATCAACCGTATTTACATAGCGGATGTCCCCTCCCCCTCGACCGCTACATTATATTGAACAACACAGACGCCACATTCACATGGTGGCTGGTGGTCAATATAAGCGGTGCTATAACATCCAAAAATAATCAAGTGGTTTTAACTAAAGTCACATTCGTAGAGAGATAAGAAACAGTGATGCGTGTTTCTGCTTGAAGGGATACTCCACATGACTCACTCCAGTGACTCATGGAGAAGTGACTGTGATTAACTCATTGAGACATAGAGTTAAAGACCTCTCAATTACCAAGAAACTACTGGAAAATTTTGGATGTCTCATAAATTGTCTTGGTAAGAGTGAGTGTGTATTTACCTTTCAATGCATCAAACTATCAATATGTTTTTATATTGCAATAGAAATGATTTACTATGAAGGTTGAACTGCTTTTAGATTCAGGGCATCATTTTTCTGGCAGAAGACAACATTTCTGAACCATGGGAACGTTACTCAGAACAACTTGTTCTTCAAGATTTGAATAAAACCAACTACCTGCAAGTTGAGTCCTGCCTTTATTACAGTCTGGGTTTAGTCTTTCCTTAAACATTGGAGATAACTATCTAGATATTTTAGACCATTTTTTCACAGAAAGGAAACATAACAGATCTGTATAGGTATTCATTGGAACGATGCAGTGGATTTGGAGCAAAACATGCCATTTCAGAGTTATTAAATTCAGCTTATGCATAGTGCACCAATTCACAATAAATTTGATTTTGATGAACTTTGCAAGAAACATGTTTTCAATTAAATCCTAGAACTACACGGTAAATCAAATGTACACCAATAGAAAGACAGTCATGATTGAAATATGGCACATTGCTGTATGTGGCAGTTTAATAAAATTATAAAACCAATAGATCTAAAGTTATGAGCAACGCTACAAGCTTTTTCAATGTCCCTGACCAAACTATACAAAGGTTCACAGACATAATTATTCAGCAAATTGTATCCATTATGGACAAAGAACAGAGGGGTCATAAAATTAATAGTTGAAAAACGAAATCTGTTAATGGAATGTTCTGGGGATGTAGTGAAATGATAAAGAAGAAAGAACCAGTAAAATGTAAATGTCATTCATAACATGATCATAATTTCAAGCAAAAGTGTGGAAAATAAACATCTTTCTGAAAATCTGCTTCAGGTCTTTCCCTGGAGTTGGTATCTGATAGAAAGCAGAATAAATTTGAGCATATCCCCTTAGTGGGGATGATAGTATGTCCCAAATGTTTGTCAGTTAATATAAATATAAACCATAAATGCTTGGATTTCTTAGTGCATAATTACTAATGAAAACAGATCAAAGGAATATAAGACAATTGTGATCTTTGTCCAATTAATGAGCATATATTTAATATGTTGCAGAATGAATCACTAGCCTCTACATACTACCTAAACAAGGACTGGACTCTCAAGCTCCAGTTCCAAAACCAGAACTCAAGAATGAGGACTAAGTATGCAGTCATCTTCATCTGTGTTGTGGCCCTGGTCATCATCGAAAAAGAAAGCAATATTCTTTCAAGGTAAGAAAAAATAATTAAGAAATCAAGAACCTCTTGCAATTTCATATTTTCAAGAGAAATTGTTGCGTCTGCAAAGATAAAAAATAAAATCCCATTTTGACTTCACCAAAAAGTCATTTTGGGTATTTACCTTCATTAATAAAAAGCCCATTTCGCCGTGAAAATAGTCTCAAAATATCTGTACGTGTGTAAACGTATTTGTGCATGTGTGAAAATATCTGTGTGTTTGTAAACCTTAAAATTAAAATAAACCTTCTCCTGCAGCTGCAAATGTTGAAAAAGTGCTGGTTTGATTACAGTACTGACTGGTATTTGGCTGCTCAATTATTCCATGCTAGAAAAATGCTAACTTTTTATGTAAAAGTTAGTATCTAGCTCTTAGAACTGAATCTACTCCTCTTTTATAACTCCTACTGGCTTGTGCAGCAATGTCTCAATGCATACCAACATACCACACTGTCAAGGTACAGTGACTGCTGGATATTACTTAACCCATTCATATCTGGCCTGGATGTGAAAATATTGTTTTACTGTTTTGTGATTCTTACTACACACTGCAGCATCACATGTTGAAAAAGCCATTTATCAGGGCTGCTACAGTCTTGAAAAGTCTGGATTTTTCAGGTTTTCTGTTCATCTGCCAATTATGTTGTCAACACCCCATAGTTGAACTTTGTGTTTAATTACATGTAGAAAGGTTAGAGATACAGAGGTTTTACTAGCTCTTACAAATCTTAACTGTTTTGATATATTAGTTGTCAATTTGACTTTTGCCTGATTCCAAGAAGACTGTTCTTATTGGTTCAAGAACATGCCTCTAACTTTAACTGAGTTTTACTAAATTCTAAAAATGCATCAAGAAACATGTTCTTGACTGATGCAATAAAATATGGGGGTTCTTAGTTTTGATTCATTGAATGAATTGGAAAAAAAAATCCAATTCATTAAATGAGTTGTTTGATTACTGATTAGTTGTTCAGTAATCAAACAACTAATCACCAATGGAGGTTGTTGAAGGGAAAATTGCTTAATCTTAATCTTTAGCTGATTGATGGTCGTAACTCCAAAGTAGCTGTTATCTGATGATTCATGAAAGAGTAAGGCATGCATTATTGAGACAACTACAAGTATCATCATGAGGCTAAACTGATAAGTGTGGCAAGGAGAGTATTTGTCAGAAGCTAAATGTCTAGGGTTATGCATTACTTCTTTCTGCTTTGCATTGCTTTTTGGTTTATCCTACTACATTCCTGTTCAAAATTAAATTACATGGACGTTTGTGGTTGTATTGAGGCAAATAATGTTTCATACATTTTAATATTTCATGCTCAATTATCTATTTTTTAACAGGGTCTCGGATAAGCTGATCCAGAGGCAGATACCACAGCAAACTCCAAGGCCTCCTCAGAGTGACGACAGTACAGCATCCAAAGATTACGTGGATGTTCTAAAAGTGCTCAGCCAACAACCCCCTACAAAAAGCAACCAAACAAATCTCCTAGAAAAGAAAGAAGTGGATGAAACGGGCGATATAAATGTAAAAAGAAACAGCAGAGGTCGCAAGCATGTGTTGCTCATGGCTAGCACACGGACAGGATCATCGTTCGTCGGGGAGTTTTTCAATCAACATGGAGAGACAATGTTTTATTTGTTTGAGCCTCTGTGGCATGTTGAGCGCCGGTTGGCCACAGCAGCAGAGGGGAACAATTCGACGGCTTTGCCAGGAATTTACGGGGACATCCTCCAGGCGCTGTTCCTCTGTAATTTCTCTCCTCTTGAAAAGTTCATCTCTCCGTCACCGCAGAACCACGTCACCCCTAATCTTTTCCGCAGAGAGTCAAGTTTAGCTCTCTGCGAGGAACCTGTTTGTACTCCTGTACTCAAAGATGTTTTTGAGAGGTAGTGTCCAAATACGACTAAACCAACTTTGAAGCTGCAGAATGGGAGAACAAGGGATCTGAAAGATCTTGTGTTGTTAATGCTTCTTTTTGAATTTGATTTTACAAAGTTTATGGTAATTATGTAGGTACAGCATGGCGCAATAGATAAAACTGTTGCCTTGCAGCAAGAAGCTTCCTAGGTTCAAATCCCAGCCCGGAGATTTTCTGCATGGAATCTGCATGTTCTCCCTGTGTATGCGTGGGTTAATTAGTTTCTCTCTGGGTGTGTGTGTGCATGGTTACCTGTCTCTGTTTAACCCTGTTCAGGGTGTTCCCCACCTCTCACCCGAAACGTTTGCTGGAAATAGGCACCAGCAACTACGCTATGGACAAGGGTTTAGTAGTTATATTTACAGGGCTTTACAAAAGCATTCCTTTCCTTCAACTTATTCTTTCAAGATGTTCTTAAACTAACAAATACTTTTGGTAAATTTAGTAAACTTCTTTTTTATGGCTTAAATTGGCTGTAAAAACTCAGAACCAACTCTTTGAAACACATTTGTCTCATGAAAGTATGTTTTGTTTAGGTATCACTGCAAGATTCGCCAGTGTGGACCACTGAATTTGACTCTTGCGTCTGAGTCCTGCCTCTCCAAACAACACCATGCCATCAAGGCTGTCCGTGTGCGACAGTTGGACACACTGCAGCCCTTGGTTGAGGACCCCCACCTCAATGTCTCTATTATCCAGCTGGTTCGAGATCCACGAGCCATCTTAGTTTCACGCATGGTGGCCTTTCCCTCAAAATACCAGACATGGAAAGCCTGGGCACAGGACGGACAGGTGCCTGAAAATGACGAGGAGGTGAAGAGGCTAAAAGGAAACTGTGATCAAGTTAGGGTATCTGCAGAATTGGGACTTAGCAAGCCCCAATGGCTAAAGGGACGCTACATGTTGGTGCGTTATGAGGATATTGCTCGGTACCCGATGCAGAAAGCCGAGGAGATGTACAAGTTTACAGGGATACCTTTCAGCTCCCGAGCGAGGGAGTGGATCCTCAGGAACACACAAACTACAGAGGAAGCTAGTGGAATATATTCCACACAGAAGAACTCTTCAGAGCAGGCGGACAAATGGAGGACTAGCATTCCCTTTACGCTGGTTCAGGTTGTGCAGAAGGTGTGCGGTCCTGCCATGAAGGTGTTTGGGTACAAATTTGTGGATGATGAAAAGACATTAAGTAATAAGTCCATCAGTTTACTTGAGGATAAACAATTTTCATAATCAAGTGGAAATAATAAACAATATCATCACAGGAAATAATAAACAATATCATTCACAGAAACACATGAAAGGAAATTTTGGAGACCAAACAACTTAGCATGCATGGCTTTGTCCTCTGAGAGGAAACCAGGAAGAATCTGTGTATTCACAAGGAGAATATTCAAGCTTCATGTGGAAAGACTCTGGTCAGAATTAAAGAAATTTTGTACAGCTCCAATAAAAAAAGTACAACAAATACATACATATAAACCAAAACACCAAACACTATATTAATCGTGTGCCCAACCTTACCAACTGATAGCCTCTTTTCAAAGGGAAACTATATATTGCACACTGTATTCACTGAAATGCCAGTTTCTCAAACATTGTGCCATGACCTTTTTAGTCAAATATCAGATAAGTCAGCATTTTTAGTGGCCATTATATGAGACATATGGTTTTAGGTTTAGATGGTAGCATTTTCAGAGATAAACAAAAGTGTGATTTTAATATTGGAACAGCCTCTGCAGCACACTGTAAAAAAGAGTAAATAAAAAATTTAGAATAAAATACTGGCGACTGTGGCTGGGACATCCTTAAATTGCTAGGATGTCACAAATACCAATCTAAGTCAATTAAGAGTATCAAATGCCAATATAGTCTCCGATATTGATTATTGATATTTAGATTCAGATTGAGACATTCATCATATATTCATTTATGTACTAATATTATAATTAAAACTAGACTAGAGAGCTAAGGTCTCATTTGATCAGATGGGGTATGTTTTAGTAGTTTTGAAATCTTACTCAGGTAAAAGTGAAAAAGCAGTTCATTGTGTCTATGAGGAGCATTCAAACAGTATGGGTATATGTGTATGTGTATGATAATACTCAGAATTTTAAAAAATGTTACTTTTGCATATATATATATATATATATATATATATATATATATATATATATATATATATATATATATATATATATATATATATATATATGTGTGTGGGGGGTTTGTGTGTGTGTGTGTGTGTGTGTGTGTGTGTGTGTGTGTGTGTGGGGTGGGGGGGTGAAGACCACAGTGGTGCCTGTGGTCATCGGGGGCCGTGGGGGCAGTCACCCCCAAACTGGAGCAATGGCTACAACAAATCCCAGGAAGAACATCAGACATCTCAGTCTGATGTGTTATTTTCCTCACACTAGCCAAAATTTTTCTACTTCCTACTGAATGAGAGGCTTTAGGTGAAGCTTTTTTTCTAATAGCATGTTATTTCTGTCACCATTCTGCCTAAACAAGACACAGGTGGTGTTGTATCAAGGTAACTACTGTGACTATGACTGAATAACATATTTGTGTTCAGCTTGGCTGAGACCCCAGAATGCTGCCATGCTGCTTAAGGAGAGGAGTTTGCTACAGAGATTCATATAGAGCAGATTATTTTCACCTAAGACAAATATAAAATTAATTCTTAACATACCAGGTTGCCAAAGATACACAAATGCCTGACCTTAAAACTGTCAGTGTTTGGAGTTTCTTTTGGAATTAATATAATACGAAATATATATTTATTCTGTAACAAGTCTCAGTTTGTATCTTCATTTCTGAAATCCAAAAGTAAGTATTTCAGGTTTCTTATGCTGACTGCTAAAATGACACATTTTTTTATATTTACCAAATTCCAGCCTTTCACATTTTGCCTCAGGTTCTGCACAAAGGATTCATTCTAACTCCAAACTAATACTAATCAGCCTCATCATATTTAACTATTCTTGCATTTTCTACAAAATTTCTCTCCAGTTTAATTCTCATTTTCTACACCTTGCCATATTTTTTGCTGAATGTTTGCTTTAAGTTGTTAGATTTTTATATTTTTTTATATTTATTTGCGTGAGAAGTGATGAGGATTAAGTATTATTTTCTGGGGTTGGTTTTCATTGCATTGTGCAAACCTACTACTGCCTATACTTTTTGTTGCCATATTTATTGTTTACAGGTGAACGTAGAAGCATAGTGATAGATTACACCTAATTTATTAGAGTTGTATCACACAAATGTAAATGTTATTCTGCTAAAATGATGATTAAATTCCTTTTGATGTGAGTGTTTTGTACCAATGAAGAAATGTTTTCCTATTAAAGTAATATTCTGTCACACATGATTAGCTGTTTTCTTATAGCCTAAATTTACTACATAATACCCCATAACTTTTATCTCTGGCCTGTGTGCTGCTGTAAATATCTTGAAAATACAATTTGTTTTCCTCTATCTTTATAGCTCTGTGTTTCTGCAGAAAAAAATGTTGTTGCAGTATGACAAATATGTGTGGTCCTATTTATATTTACTGCCTATACTTGGAAGTGGTTTAGTCATGCTATAGTTATATAACTATTTGCAAATCTATTTTCAGTCACATAAAATCTTGTTTTTACTTTGTACTAAGTCTTAAACACAAAAAAAACATATTATACCACAATGTAGTATTTTATTACACTTTGAACATCTTTAATGAACAGAACTTCTTCTGACTTTGTCATATGCAAGTCTTTCAATGCACAGTGGATGAGGAATGCATTGGTCAAGTGAGGATGAATGTAGAATTGTTTAAGTGCACCCTGTTGCCTGCGATCCCCATTTGGCAGTGTGTGAATTACGCTGAGACAGGGAACCCATTCAGCTCCACATTCCTCATCGTTAATGTCCCAGCTGCTGCGAAGTTACGACAGCTGTTGGTCAAGGAGAGTATTCAACTTAAGATTTTTCTGTATCAGCACAAGTAGTGGTTTTTTTTTTATTATTATTACTTTTTGACAGTAGTTTCATTTTCGGGAATGGAACCACAGACATCTGCATTGATGACAATAACCTCTGTATATGGTGCGCCTGCTCTACCTCTAAGCCATGTGGCGGCCATCACAACAGTTTTAAAGCTTAAAAATATCTTAAGTTCTTTGAAGATATTTGTTGAAACTGCTTGTTGTAGTAAGTTGTTATAGTGATAAGTTTGTTTATTACAAGTGGGAGCTGCCATGGTTTGATGCTACTTCAAAAGTGAGTTGAAATGTATGAGGTGAAAGGAAACATCTAATGTGAAGTTGTTATTAAAACATGCAGAATCATGAGGTTATGGCAGGATCCCATTTATGCATGTCACAAAAATCTCTACCAGCCCAAAAGCAAATTCCAGCCTTTAATTATGTATTTTAAATCTGGTCAAGGAAGAAAACTGTCATAACTCCAGTTATTAAACTTTTTTTTTAAATTCAAGTAAGGCTTTATATAGATTTTGTTTTTTGTTTTGTTTTTTTACTAAAAAATCTAATTTAAGAAAGTTGTTTATGGAGAAAGATTGTCAATTGCAAAGAAGACATTCATACATTTCTTTATTCAACTATTATGGCTATTTTACATGTGATAGCCAAAGTAATGCATTCAAAATTTGAATGTTTAAGTTGTTTTTGGGCCAGTAAAAATGGCTAAATTGGGAAAACAACAACAGCAAAGCTTTTTTTCTTTACAAGTGTTGCTGTCCAATAAGGGCTACAAACTGAAGCTGTGGCTGCCCAGGCAAACAGAAACTGTTGGGATCCACTTCTGACATTAACACACAACACAAAAAGTTTTAGATAAAAGTTAGAAAGTAACAGAAAGAAATGTTTTGTCATAGTTGTGCAGATAATAGCTAAAGAGATCCGAAAACAACAACAAACAAACAAAAGAAACCAAAAAAAAACAAAAAAACAAAACAAAACAAGATATTGTTGAATTTGCTACCAGGGTCATGGTTTGTTATACTCCCAAGGTAAAGGGTTGTTTTCAGTAGGGATTGACAGATGTATCAGCCTAATTCCAGTATCACTCAATATCCTATTTGCCTCTGGGCAAATAGGATAAAATCAAAAGTAGTGGACAGCAGCACATTTGTATTGGATGTGTTCTAAATGTGTCAGACTGATTTTATCATAAAACCTGCCCTCGGATTTCACATTATACTTTAAAATGCTGCTATGAAAAAGAAAGCAAACTATTTTTTACCAGGGCAACATAGGTCATTTGGTAAGTCGATCAATTTAAGAGAACACTCAGAGCAGTTTGAGAGTGTCTTGTTTTATTTAATTTTACTTGATTAAACATTTAAGCAAATCAAAATCATCACATTCATTCTTCAGTAATGTCATGTGAAATTAATTCCTTAAAATTTTATGGCATATTTTTGGGGACTTTGGAAATAGCAGAAGATTCCAAGGATCTGACTGTCAGATGTCACCTAATAACTAGAATTTATTTGCATTGGGATATGAGGTGATACTTTGTGTGATATTTAAGTGTGCATCTGGTTGTCCGTCGGGTCATATTTAAGTGAAGTCTTGTTTTTACTTTTGTGCAATCAGTAATTGAAATTGAATCAATCACAGTTAATCACAGACATTTCCACACAAGACCAGGTAACTTTGTTCAGCATTTTGGGTTCAATATATGATTTTAAGACTGAATCTGAAAAGAAAAGCAATAGGAATCTTTAAGCAGTACATGTTTTAGATATAAGTAAATTTGTCCACAGTCATCTCAGTATTTACAAGCTCCCCCCCCAAAAAAAATAACAGAAAAACAACACTTTTTAAAATGATTTTCATGCAATATTTCTAGCATTTTTCTTTCTTTGCACTGAATGACAAATGTCAAAGTGCTTCGGGCAATATGACATTTAGATGCACAATTTGCTTTTGAGCACACATGGATTCAATGATGCTGCTTGTGCTCCAGAAGAGAGAGGAAAGAGAGCTGAGAAAACAGGAAACCCACCCTCCTTATTCAGCTTCCGCAGCTTCAATTCATGTTCCGCCTTTTGTAAATGTCTTCTCTAAAACCCTGAACTGAGGTCAATAAAAAAATGTTCCTAAAAAAAATTAAATTTTTCAACAAGTTTTTTTTTTCTGCTTTGTGCTCTTTGGGATGATGACAGTCACTTTCCAGTCACACCATCACGATGCTCTAGTTCTGCTTTCCACTCCCCATTTAAAGACACACACACACACTCTTGGTACCTCTTTCATTGCACACTAAATTTCCCCTTAGTGGGGGCCTGTCAGAAAGTAAATAAATCCTGTGGACGGTGTGGAACACAGAGCGCCCTCATATGGCTCAGAAGTTGCTCAATAAGTCCTTGTTTGTGCTTCTTTAAGTTGTGTCAGTCAGCATGTACAGCTAGGCTGCATATGATTTAGCATGATTTCAATCTGAAACCACAAAGTTTCATGGGTAAAGGTTTATAAAGATCTTCCAAACACGTTTCTGACATTTGAAAGACAAAATTAGAAGCTGTTGCTACGTTGCAGTTATTTCATGTGAGTGCTGTAGAGGGCAGCAGATGCTTAAATATCAATAAGATACCTTCTTCTTATGTGTAAGTATCAGACTACATGTTAGCATTCAGCACAAAACTCACGTGTAACTTGATTTGTCCTTGATGTACCTTGTGTCTTGTTCTTTGGTCTAAAAACTCAAGATAATGTGATGACCATTTACATCTTGTTTTCAAATGTTGATGGTTTCTATTATCAAGTGGACAAAAATTGGGAGAGGAATGAGAATGGTAAAGAGTGCTATTTAAAACACATGGTGTCTGGCAAAAGTACTCAAAACACTTGAGCTTTATGTTTTGCAACATAACAATCTCAAACATTAGTGTATTTTCCTGGGATTTTGCAAAAAAAAGTAATTGGAAACATTTCACATGATTTTAAATGAAAAAGCCAGTGCTCAGGTGGAAGAATCTGTTGACAGGAAAAACTATTAGTCATGCTCTCCACAAGTCCGGCCTTGATGGCAGGGTGGTGAAAGAAAGCGGACATTGAAAGAAAGCTAAAAGACATCAAGCATGTTGGGGAAAAAGCAAAAGAAAAAAAAAACTTGC